CACCAGACCTTTTCAGAAAGCAGGTTTATGGAATGGGTGTGGGGAAGGAGGCATGGGGGCAGGGACCCTGCCTGTCACTGCTCTCACAATCCCCTAAGCCCTTCTTGCCTGAGGGTGCCAGGACTGACACTAGAAACCCCATTTGGCCTTCCTGTCTCCCCTGCAGGAGGATCACAGGCACACATCCTGTCTCATCACCCCCACCCCACCCCCACCCGGGCCTGGTCCACATGGCACTGCTTCCTGGAGGGTCGTGGCAGACTGGATGTCAATGTGGGTTGTGCCCGATGGCCCTCTAGGTATTGCTGGTGCCAAGAGTTTGGGCCAGGCAGCCAAGGCGAGGGGGCTTGGAGGGGTGTGTCTGCCTCTGGCAGTACCTGAGGGAGAGAGCAGAGTGCAGCAGGCAGGCTTTGGGTGAGGTCCCGCCCCACGGGCGGCGCACTGGCTGTGCCAGCAGCCTGCCCGCACGCCACTCCTCCCACAATGGCCCCATTGTTCCCAGCAGCCAGGCAGTTTGGAGGAGGTTCCTAGGCCACCCCTACCCCCCTAAATAGGGGCCAGATTAACCCCTTGGAGGGCTGAGGCCAGGTGATGGCCTACCAGGAGCTGTACTGCTCATCTCTTCCTGTTCTTGGGAAGTCACTTGCTACCCACATGCACCCAGCAACGGGCCACCTCCTGAGATTGGGGTCTCCCACCAGGTAGAAGTATCACCTAGACCCTCTCACACCCCCTCTCCGGTACAGGTGCCAGGGGGCAGGAAGTGCCAGTGGAGTGGCTGGAGGAGACCAGATATATTTGGGCTGGTGGGGCTAATTCCAGCCACCACCGCCTGCCCTACTGGCTCCTGAGCTCCTTTCCTTCCTGTGAAACCAGAGCTGGGTTGGGCCTAGCTCAGGATTTCGGTGGATTTAAAGAGGCAGCACCATCCCTGCCAGTACTGCTTCCTCTCCCCCTCCCCAGGTAGGGTCCAGGGCAGGGAGACGGCTAGGGAGCTTTGAGCTCCTCCCTTGGCCTGGGCTAACCCCTGGCCCTGGCCTCTGTTGGGGTACCAGGCTTTTGGCACTCCTCTCTCCCAGAGCCTTGGGCGGGTGGGGTGGGCGGGGGTGGGCTGTGGTTTCCTGTGTTGGCTGTTTGTGCCTGGCCCAGAGTGCCCGCCGCCTGCCTGGGCTTCCTGCCCTGTCTTGTTTCCTTGTGCCCCCCGCCCCTCCCCACTCCTGGGGGAGAGAACAGCCAGGGATTGGGCAGCAGTCTTTGGGGGCACCCCACTGGTTACTTCCTAAGCCTGGCCACCTGGTAATGGCTGAAGGAGCCAAGAGTAGTGAGGTGACCTCAGGTCTGTCCAGGCAGTGCCACTTGAACCTGAAGCTCCAGAAGAGGTAGTGGTCTAGAATGGGCAGAACTGTCCTCCCCCAGGCACTCTATTCAAAGATCCCAAAGAGTCTTATGATCAGAAGACTTCATGGTCCAGCAGGGTTGGGGTTGCCTGACCTTACCCTGGGGATACAGGTGGGGTGGGGCTGGAAACTCCCAGGCAAAACCTCCCAAGCAAAAATCGCTGATTTGCATGGACTCCTTCAGCAGGGGGCGGAGAGAGGGGGATGTGGGGAGAGTTGCTAGGAACCAGGGCCAGGGGAAGGTCCCCCGAGACTGGAAGTTCCCATGTAGAGGGTCCCAGAGTAGCACCTTGGTCCTAGAGCAGATTTCCTGTGAGGCTGTGAATCCTTGACCTCCCCACCCGGCTGAGTCACCACCTCAGGAAGAGGAAGTGACCTGAGTGGTGGAGGAGAGCTTCTAAGGACCAGAGAGAGTCCTGACACCAAGGAGAAAGGGCCCTTGGGACCTGATTATCTTGGGGCTGAATCTCCCTGAGCCAGAGGTCGATATCACCCCTCTGCCTCCAGCAGGGACCTGTCTTTCTACCCATCACAGGGTTTCCTAGTGCTCATTTTCCTTTCTAGAGGTGCCTGACCACTGCATCTGGGAACATGGGTCCCCCCAAAGGATTTACTCACTGCCTGTTTTTTCTTTTACTTTGGCAGTGTTGGGATTGAACCCAGGACCTCACACATGCTGGGGAGGTGCTCTGTCATAGAGATACATCCTCACTCTGGGGTGTTTTTTGTTTTTTGGGTTTTTTTTGTGGTGTAGTGTTTGAACTCAGGGCTTGCTAGCAGGCACTCTACAACTTCAGTTACTTCACCAGCCCTTTTTGTTGTTGTTGTTGGGTATTTTAGAATTAGGGTCCAGAGAACTATTTCCCCCGCTGGCTTCAAACCGAAAGCCCCCTGATCTCTGCCTCCCAAGTAGTCTAGAATTACAAGCATGGGCCACCAATGCCCGGTGGGACTGGGGTTTGAACTCAGGGCTTCTTGCTTGCAAAGCAGGCACTCTACTGCTTGACCCACACCTCCAGTCCATTCTGCTTTTGTTACTTCAGGAGATGGAGTCTCCCAAAGTATGTTCCCAGGTTGATTCTGAACTTCAGTCCTTCTGATCTCAGCCTCCCAAGTAACTAGGATTACAGGAATGATGAGCCACCTGGGCCCAGCATCCCTGGGGTGCTTTTGAGCCCAGCAATGAGACTGGTGGGCTATGCTGGTCAACTAAGCATAGGCTTCCACTGTGGGAACAGGCAGGTTGCGGCTGGGTGTTTGAATGCCTACCCTACCTGGGGCAGCTGTGTTGAGCAGAGCTGATATGTAACTCCTGTAGGCTCTGGGCACAGAACCTTTCCTGTTTGTCTCTTCCAGCTGGGTCAGGCTTACTTTAACCTTTATGCTGCTATAAGCTGCTGGCTCCTCACCCCTATGTAATTAATGTAGTGGGTGCCAATGATTTTAGGAACTTTCTTTTCTCTCTCTCTCTCTCTCTTTTTGTGGTTCTGGGGCTTGAACTTAGGGCCTATGCCTTGAGCCACTCTACCAGCAGTTGTTTTGTGAAGGGTTTTTTCAGGATAGGGTCTCATGGAACTGTTTGCCTGGGCTGGCTTCAAACCACAACCCTCCTGACTTCTGCCTCCTGAGTAGCTAGGATTACAGGCATGAGCCACTGGCGCCCTGCCTCTCTCTTTTTGAGACCTGTCTCACTATGTAGCCCAGGCTGGCCTCGAATTCTCTCAATCCCCCTTCCTTATCTCCCAGTGCTGGGGCCACCATACCCCAGCTTCAGGTTCTTTGTTTCAGCCACCTTGCCCCAGGCACATTCTCTTGGGTATGCTCACGGCATTTCACTCAGGTGACTCGCACCTGCTCCCTGTTTGTGAGCACATGTCACGTCTCCCCACCCTACCCTGTGAGCGCCATGTTCCCAGAGTTCCATCTCTTTCCTTTCATACATCTCAGGAGCTCCTGGCCTGGTGCTAGGAAGTTTTCTTCACTCTGTGCTTAAAACTGCCCGGCCAGGAGTTAGCCCGCCTGCCTCCCATGGCCTGGCCTTCCAGGTGTCTTCTGTGGCTGAGTGTGTAGAGGAGGAGGGGTCTTTGGGAGCTGGGGCCCACTCCTGAGGGACAGAAGGGAGAGGTGTGAGATGGGAAAGTCCTGACTCATCCATGCTTGACTCAGCTTGCCCTGCGGCTGGGTGGGAGCAGGGGGTGGAGTCCTGGTGGGGGGGGCAGCGGCTCTAAGATTCTTTTGGGGAGGAGCCTTGGCCTCACTGGGGCCACTGCAGAGCACTACTTTCCAAACAGCCCCTTCCCAAATTATTATGGGGGGGGAGTGGGAAGGGGACACAGGGGCTGGGCAGCAGCTGGAATGTGAGAAGCCCACATATCTGCGGTGGGAACACATGAGCAGCCATGGCTCCAAGGTGACACTGCAGTACCTGGAATGAGGGTCTTGGCCCCGCACATGCTGTCAGGTGACCCAAGGGCACACAGCTTCCTTTTCCCAGACCTGTTTCCTCATTGTGAAATAGGTTAGCTAGCTTGAAAATCAGCCAGGGATGAAGGTGAGAGCCTTAGATGCATGATAGCCATGGGCTCCGCCCCTCTGTCCAGGTGTCCCAAGTGACTCCTGCCTCTGCTCCTGATCCTGGTTGTGATGCAGGAGATGGAGGTGGCAGGCCAGGCCCCACTGGACTTTGGAACCTTTTCTTGAGAAGCCTTCCTCCCTAGAGACCGATCTGGAGTGGGGAAGGTCAATGTGTCCTGGGGTTAAGTTAGGGTTAGACTTCCACAGGATGTCACCTCGGGCTCTGTCACCCTGTGGTCTCTGCCCAGCAGCTCTTCAGGGAGCAGCGGGATTGTGCACGGGTGTGTCTGGCTTGGACCTGTCATGGGGAGGAAGCTCCTGGGCCCAAGTCTCCTCCCCTTCCCTCCCCCACCCTTTACCGGGATCTGCAGCTGGGTGGGAGGGGACAGAGCAGGGGGCAGCTGGGTGAGGCGTCTGTTTGTGTAAGTCTGTCTGTTGGTGTATCTATGGCCTCGTGTACGTGTTTCTTTGTGACTGTCGAGCTCAACTTTCTATGGCTCTCTTGTGGCCGGGACTCAGTCTTCTCATCTGCTCAATGAGTCGGCCAGCTCCTGCTCAGCCTGCTGGCCACCCGGCGTCTGCGCGCCCCAGGCTGGTCGGCAGCGCTTGCTGGGGCCCGCGCTGCCCTGGAGGTCCCGCACACTACCACGCGCCTCTAGTTTCCTGGGCTCCGTGCGTGTCTTTGTCTCCCTGTCCACGTGTGAGCTGTGAGTGTGTGAGTCAGAGTTCGGGTGCTTGTGAGTCTCCGAGCCCCAGTCCGCCAGGCCCTGCCGCTGTGCCTCTGCCCGGCCGGCGTGCGCCCACCCTCTCGCGGGACTCGTCCGTGTGTCTGTCTGCGTGCGCGGGATCGAAGAACCACGCTACAGCCCTGTCCCGCCTCCCGCTCGCTCACTCGCTCGTTCGCTGCCTCGCTGGCTCTGTCGCTCGCTCACTCGCTCTGCCTCTTCGCTCGGGCTCTGCCGAAGGGGGCGGGGTGGGGGTGCAGGGCGGGGGGAGGGGAGGCTCCTGCATTCTTGCGGTCGGGGAGGAATCTGAGCCAGCGTTACTGGTCTCCAGAAGAGCCCAGCTGCAGCCCCGGGGCCCCGCCAGGCCTCTTGCTGCCCGCCCGGGCCTGCCGGGATGGGCACGGGCTAGGCCTGGAGCTGGGGGCGGGGCGGGGCATTGCTCCTACCCCGGCCTCTAGGTGGCTGCAGCGCCCCGGGGCAGGGCACAGCGCTGGGGTGGGGCCTGAGGGATTCCCAAACCCTGGGTAAGGGGCGTGTCAGACAGTGGGGAGTCCCCAAGGGGGCCAGAGCAGACCTCGCTGCTACCCCTCCCCACCGAGCACCTTTGCAACCTAACCTATTACTGGATTCTACATCTGAAGCCCTCCATGGGTAGAGGGCTTGCTAGAGACTGCAAGCTCTCTAAGGACACGATGCGGGAGGGATGGGGACAGGACTGGCTTTTAGGATCGAGACCCCATCTCACAGGCTTCCCTTTCTTATCCTACCCTACCCTATTAGTCCTAGGGCTGTTGGGTCCTCCCCTTTCCCTTGCCCCTTAAGCCCCCCTCCCCAAGTCACAAGTTTTCTCTTTGGGGCTTGTTGCTGCAGTCCGTGCTCCAGTACCGAGTACCTGGCTGGGCCCTGGGCACGCACAGGGGCCGTAGCCCCACTGTGTGTGGGAGCCATGAGGATCCTGGCTAACAAGACAAGGTGTGTGGGTGTCCTGGAGGGTGGGATGTGTGTGTGGAGATGGGGTAGGGAAGGGCCCATGGTGACAGGATCCTGCTGTGCTGCTTGGAGAAAGAACAGTGCCCCTGGACACCTGGCTCCCAGGCCATCCGGGGCTAAAAGGCGGGTAGAGTGGGAAGTCTTGGTCCAGGCAGGAACAGCTGCCAGCCTTAGCACCTGGGCCCAGGGGGCAGAGGGGACTGGTAGTTAGTTATGCCATCTGTTTCTGGTCCCTTCTAGCTCTTCCCTCCTAAAACCGTTAGAAAAGACCCCCACCATCCTAAAGTGGGGTCTCATGACGCCCTCTGGCCTCGGTGCCAGTGTTGGGGTGGGAGCTGCTTTCCTCCTCCCCCAGGAGAAGCGGGCAGACAGGGCCAGGCGGCAGCAGCAGGACAGCAGAGCTGAAATAAATCTGAGCTGGTGTGGAATGAGGGGGGATAAATATCCTCTCCCGTGATGTGATCTTTCCAGCGGCTATTAATAGGTCCCCGGGGAGGGGGAGGCGGTGGGGGGAGCGGGCTGGAGCTTAAAGGGCCCGCAGCCTAGGTTGCAGAAATCCTTGGCTTCAAGCTGCTTGATGTACCGCTCCCCTCCCCCCTGCTCCTGCCTGTCTGCAGGGCCTGGTGGTCCACCCTCTTCAGGCCTTTCCCTCAGGGTCTGGGGAGCCGTCTGGACTAGAGGGTACCACTCTTGAGTGTGCTTACCCGCCCCCCCCTTCCCCTGGGAAATAGGGCTGCATGAGCAGTGACTCACAGGTCCTGTGGCCCATCTCTGCTGGTGTTGGGACATATGGGAGTTGAGGTTTAGGACCATGGAAGAAGTCTGAAGAAGCACACCCCTAAGTGAGGGTGCTAAGTCCTAGTCAGGTGCTAGAGGGGAGGGGTTACCAGGGAATCTTGCAGTTTTATGGATATTAGGGCTGGGGTGGGCAGATCTGTCAATGCAAGACCCTGGTTTCTGTTTGAATTGGAGGGTTTAGGGAATGGGGGGGGAGTTGCCCCATCTCTACTCCCAAATATGGACTGAAGCATCAGCACCTGTCTGAGAAGACATGCAGTGAGGTAGAGGATAGCAGGTAGTTTCTGCAGATGCTATTCAGTCACCCTCCCCTCCACCATTAGGTGAGGCAGGATGGGGCAGTTAAAGTCCCGGCAGGTTTATCCTCTAGCAATGTTAACCCTTCATGTCTTTCCTACCTTCTCCCAGGTTACCCCACCCCAGGAGGAGAGAAGCTCCAGGGAGCCCGCCGCTGTCCCCCCGCGGCCACTGCCCCCCTGCCCCAGCCAAGCCAATGCACCCCGAAAATAAATTGACCAATCATGGCAAGACAGGGAATGGCGGGGCCCAATCCCAGCACCAGAATGTGAACCAAGGACCCACCTGCAACCTGGGCTCCAAGGGCGTGGGGGCGGGGAGCCATGGGGCCAAGGCCAACCAGATCTCACCTAGCAACTCAAGTCTGAAGAACCCCCAGGCAGGGGTGCCCCCTTTCAGCTCGCTCAAGGGCAAGGTGAAGCGAGAGCGGAGTGTGTCGGTGGACTCTGGAGAGCAGCGTGAGGCTGGGACCCCATCCTTGGACTCAGAGGCCAAAGGTACCCCATTTCCTTATCCCCCCAAGACTTTAGCATCAGCCACAGCCCAAGATCCAAATTTGCCTGGAGACCGTTTTTTCTGTCTGCCTTGCTCAATCCTTATCCCCTGGTCCTCTCCTGCATTTATGCATGGACACCTCCCTCTTATCCCCATCCCATTGGCAGTCAGGTCACAGGATTGGGCTTGGCTAGGGTGCCACCCATGGAAGGACCACACAGAGTGATGGGTCTTCTGCTCTTATTGCCCCCTCCCTTCCCACGGGAGAGAGGGAGGTACCCTGGGGTGAGGAGTGGACTCACACACCTCCCCTGAGCCTCTTGGTATCCTGGCTGGTGGGAGCCTTTTGGGAACAGGCACTGGAGCCTGGAAGAGTCACAGCAGCTTCCCCCTCCCCCCCCCAGCCCTAATTAGAACCAGTTGTGGTTGGGGATTATGCTATGCTTGGTATTGGGGTGGGGGGGAGGGGAGACAGGCAGCCTGGGCTGGAGAGAGAAATCAGAAACAAATGGTGGTGTGGTGGGGGCCAAGGATTGGCTAAGTGCCTACCATGGCCTGGGCAGTGCCCTCTGGGGTGGGGCATCTTGGAGAATGGGCCTGGGAGGGACTCTGGGTATGTGAGGACAGGGCCTGTGGGCACTCATTCCTGCCTGCCTGCGTCCTGCCTGGGCAGAGGTGGCACCTCGAAGTAAGAGGCGGTGTGTGCTGGAGCGGAAGCAGCCATATAGCGGGGACGAGTGGTGCTCTGGACCTGACAGCGAGGAGGACGACAAGCCCATTGCGGCCACCCACAGTGAGTGCCCATTGATGCCAGGGTGCTGTGGCCCATGGTGCCTGCTGGGGATGGCTGCCCTGAGGGAGCTCCCTCACCTAGGGCCTGAAGGGGACCAAGAGTACAAGAAGTAACAAAGACCAGGAGCTCAGGCTCTTTATCTCCTGTCCCATCTCTCAGACTCTGTCCTTCCTTGTATGGTGACAGGCTAGCCCTTATCTTCTGGGTGTTCAGTGACCCCTTTTCTCTAAGGACCAGGGTGAGATGGGGTTCTCTCAGGTGGCCTCTTGCCTAGCCACACCACCTACACCACTTCCACGAATGCCTGGCCTATGCTGCCACCTACTGGTCATCAGAAGAAGGGTGGGAAAGTCCAGCCTCCCTTGGAGACGAACAGTTGGCTCCACTGCTCAAAGCTATGCTAAGTCTGGGTGTGAACTGACACTTGGTTGCCACTCTGGTGCCCTTCTCTGACCTCCAGTTGACTCTTGGCAAGTGCCCAGTGTGTCTCACAGGGATAATGCGCACTCTTACTTAATTGATCAGTGGACCCTCTGTGAGTGATAGGGCAGAACCCCCTCCCCTTGGGAAGCCTGTGCACATTTCTTTAGGGTTTCCCTTCAGAGCTTCCATCTGTGACAACTTAATGCGTAAGAAACTGGCTAGAGGATGTTTGTTTGTGAAGTTCTTGAAGTCCACATAGAACTTCCATAGAAGGAAGAAAGAAAAAAAGTATTTACTCCTTACTCTGTTTAATCCTTTCACTAGCCCTGTAAGGAAGGTGTTATGATGCCTTTTGCAGAGGAGGAAGCAGTCAGTGGAATGAGTGGACTATGCTGGGGAGGGTCCCATATGGAAACCTCTATAGCTGACGGGGGCGTCAAAGGCCATCCAGTTCTAGGTCCCCTCCCTGCCTCCATAGGACTGAGTGGTGGCCCACAGTCTTTGGCTGAGTGCTTCAGAGATAGAACCCGTCACTACTTCCTGGACAGGAGCCCCTACTATCCCTAATTTACTTCTGAAACATTAGTGTACACCATTGTAGAAACTTTGGAAGATGCAGGGAGATAAAAGAAGAAATTGCTATGATCCTATGACCAACCACTTTGACTATGTTAGATGTATTGCCGTTCAGTTCTTGCATTTGCTAGGCAGGCAGGTGCTCTGCCACGTGTAACACACTTGCTTAGTGTCAGCTTTTATTGTTATCATTGTATTGGAAAGATCCTTTTTAAAATAAATCTTGCTTCCCTCCCCATGACTTGTATTCAACAGCGTGTTGCATGCTTTTAGTTTGTACCTTTTCCAGGGCAGTCTCACACAATGAGGCCAGCTCTCAAGTCGCTCCAAACTTCTGGCTTTGCTCTTCTATGTAAAATTCAGGAGACAGAGTCCAGAGCAGGGCTATTTTGGGGGTGAATCAGTCAGAGGTTTATCCAAAGAGGGGAGCCTGACGTTGCACCTGGGAAAGCAACTGCCCTTGTGTTTCCTGAGAATGCTGTCACTTACTGTCTGCAGGCAGGTGCTGTGATTTGTGTTTCTTGGCATTGGGAATGGCTCCACCCCCTCACCTAGACCCACTGATGACCAGTTGGGGATCTTTCTAGGCTAGAACTTAGAGACAAGTTTGTGACCATGGAGCAAAATGTTTGGTGCTTCTATGGCTGGTATTTTCTGGGAGTGTTCCCAGTATGTCAATCAGCCTCCGATACTGTGAAATAGATATTTTGGTCTTGCTCTGTTTCCTGGCACACAACTCCTAAAATCCTGGGCATCTCTGAAGTGATGTGTCCTCTTGTATGGTAATGAGTTGATTGGTGGCTGGCAGCTTCTGGATGGGGACTGGTCACTGGAAAGACCTAAGCAGGATCCACCCCCACTGGGGAGGGGAGAGGGGCTAAAGGTTGGGTTGAGTGATTTAAGCAGGCATGCCTAATGAAGCTTCCATATAAATCTGGACTTTGGGGAGTTCCAGATAGCCGAACATGTAGAGGTCCCCAGGGGGTGGCATGCCAGCAGAGGGCCCAGATGCTCCCCAACTCTTCCCTTGTGCCTTGTCCTGTGCATGTCCTTATCCTTATCCTTTGTTGTATCCTCTGTCGTAGACTAGTAAATGACAGTGGAGTGTTTCCCAGGGTTCTGTGGGCTGTTCTAGCATATTAGTACAATCTGAGGAGTGGGTCCTGGGAACCCTGATGCATAGGCCATTTATACCTAGAACAACCTGGGGCCTGAAAGTGGGGGTGACAGGAGTATTGTGGGCTTGAGTCCTCAACCGGTGGTATCCCACGCTGTCTCCAGGCAGATAAAGTCAGAGTTGAATTGAATTAGAGGACACCAGGTGGAATTGATTGATTGATTGTTGGTGGGGGGAAGTCCTCATATGCTTCCTGCACAGAAGTCTGTTGATTGTTGTGTGAGAGGAGAGCAAAAATTGTTTGTTTGTTTTTTTTTCTACATAGCCTTTCAAAAGCTGTTATTCAAATTAATTTTTTTTTTTCCTTTGGTGGTACTAGGGTTTGAACTCATGGCCTCGTGCTTGCTAGGCAGGCACTCTACCATTTGAGCCAATCTGCCAGCACTTTTTTTGGGTTGGGTATTTTTGAGCTAGGGTCTTGCCAACTATTTGTCCATGCTGGCTTCAAACAGCGATCCTCCTTCTGAGTAGGATTACAGGTCTGTTTTTCCTTTGTGACATAGTAAATGTATTTCTTTGACCTGCCCCCTGTGGGGTTGGGCAGGAGGGTAGCAGCTCTGTTTGGTAGATGAACAAATTGAAGCTTAGACAGATGAAGTGTCTTATTAATAAAAATCACCAGGTCAGTTAGTGGTGGGGTTGAAAGTGGTGGGGGTGAAAAGCCGTTCATGGCTTGAATCATCAATTGTGCAGCCTCTGCCTTCTCCCTGCTGGGGTCACTAGTCAATAGATGCATACAGACCACAGCAAGGGGTCAGCGCAGAGCTAAGCTGGGATTTGGGTTCCAATCCCGGCTTTGCATTAGCTGCATGTGTAGCCTTACGTGAGTTACTGCATCCCTGCCAGGTTTATTTCCTCCTCTGTAAACTATAGTATGATGCCTTCCTCCCAGGGATGTGCTTATGACATGAAAACCACCTTTACCAGTCTCCGGTGGAACTCCAGGCATGTGGGAGTCTGTTGGCCAGGGCCACATTTCCCCTCCCTCCTCTCCTCATGGTCACCACTTTTGCCATCCTGGGCAAAGACTGGTCCAGAGCAGGTCAGGGTGGGAGCCAGACTGGTGAAGACACCAGATTGCAGTATAAAATGACCCTGCTGGCACGGGCTGTGAGGCAGTGCGCATCCCTGGGCTGAGGAGGGGTGGCACCAGCTGGTTCTCCTTCCAGCATCTGGGCTACTTACGCACTTTCACTGTCCTCTCTTTTACAGATTGTAATGTAGCAGACCCAGCCATGACGGCCCCACAGCTGGGTCCCAGCCAAACTGCCCAACTGCCTCTCAGTGAGAGCAGTGCACCAGGCCCCCCACATGGCCCCCCACCAGGCCTTCGACCAGATGCCCCTGGGGGTGGGGGCGGGGGCGTCTCTGGAAAGTCTTCCTCACAGTTTGTGTATGTCTTCACCACCCACCTGGCGAACACGTAAGTGCCTTGGAGTACTGTCTGCCTGCACCCTCGCTGGGGGGCCCAGTAGTGTGTGCAGGGGTAAGGGAATGGGTGATGATGGGCTCCCTCCTTCCTGCCTCTGAGCTGCCTGTAACTAACCCCTTGTTCAGGGCTGCCGAGGCAGTGCTGCAGGGCCGGGCAGACTCCATCCTTGCCTACCACCAGCAGAACGTACCCCGGGCCAAGCTGGACCAGGTGAGTGTGGTACCCTTGCCTGGCTCCGAGTGGGTTGGGATATCCCCTTGTCTGTCCCACATTCTGCCTTTGTCCTTCTGCAGGCCCCCAAAGTGCCACCCACCCCAGAAGATGGGTTGGGATATCCCCTTCCCTGTCTCTTACTTTCACTCTGCCTTTGTCTTCCTGCAGGCCCCCAAAGTGCCACCCACCCCAGAACCACTACCCTTAAGCACGCCGTCAGCAGGCACCCCACAGTCTCAGCCACCTCCACTGCCACCACCGCCACCCCCAGCACCTGGCAGTGCACCCCCTGCTCTGCCACTGGAGGGACCTCCTGAGGATACCAGTCAGGACCTGGCTCCCAGTTCGGTGGGAGCTGCCAGCACAGGTGGTGGAGCTGGGAGCACCCACCCTAACACCCCAACGGCTGCCACCACTAACAACCCTGTGCCTCCTGGAGGAGACCCCAGCAGTGCCCCAGGCCCTGCCCTGCTCGGGGAGGCCACCCCTACAGGAAATGGGCAGCGCAGTCTGGTGGGCTCCGAGGGGCTGTCCAAAGAGCAGCTGGAGCATCGGGAGCGCTCCCTCCAGACCCTGCGAGACATTGAGCGGCTTCTGCTCCGCAGTGGGGAAACCGAGCCCTTCCTCAAGGGACCTCCAGGAGGAGCCGGCGAGGGGGGCCCACCAGCACAAGCACCTCCTGCCCCCCAGCAGCCACCCTCGGGCCCTCCCACCGGCCTGAAGAAGTATGAGGAACCTTTGCAGTCCATGATTTCACAGACACAGAGCTTAGGGGGTCCCCCACTGGAGCATGAAGTGCCTGGGCATCCCCCAGGCGGGGACATGGGGCAACAGATGAACATGATGATGCAGAGGCTGGGCCAGGACAGCCTGACACCCGAGCAGGTGGCCTGGCGCAAGCTGCAGGAGGAGTACTATGAGGAGAAGCGGCGGAAGGAGGAGCAGATTGGACTGCACGGGGGCCGGCCTCTGCAGGACATGATGGGCATAGGAGGCATGATGGTGAGGGGGCCCCCGCCTCCCTACCACAGCAAGCCTGGGGATCAGTGGCCACCTGGAATGGGCGCACAGCTGCGGGGCCCCATGGATGTCCAAGATCCCATGCAGCTCCGAGGCGGACCTCCTTTCCCAGGCCCCCGATTCCCAGGCAACCAGATGCAACGGGTGCCTGGGTTTGGGGGCATGCAGAGCATGCCCATGGAGGTGCCCATGAATGCCATGCAGAGGCCTGTGAGGCCAGGCATGGGCTGGACTGAAGACTTGCCTCCGATGGGGGGACCCAGCAATTTTTCCCAGAGTGCTGTGCCCTACCCAGGTGGGCAGGGTGAGGCAGAAAGATTCATGACTCCTCGGGTCCGGGAGGAGCTGCTGCGGCACCAGTTGCTGGAGAAGCGGTCGATGGGCATGCAGCGTCCCTTGGGCATGGCGGGCAGTGGCATGGGGCAGAGCCTAGAGATGGAGCGGATGATGCAGGCCCACCGGCAGATGGATCCCGCCATGTTCCCAGGACAGATGGCTGGTGGCGAGGGCCTGGCGGGCACTCCCATGGGCATGGAGTTTGGTGGAGGCCGGAGTCTCCTGAGTCCGCCCATGGGCCAGTCTGGCCTGAGGGAGGTGGACCCGCCCATGGGGCCAGGCAACCTCAACATGAACATGAATGTGAACATGAATATGAACATGAACCTGAACGTGCAGATGACCCCGCAGCAGCAGATGCTGATGTCGCAGAAGATACGCAGCCCTGGAGACATCCTGGGACCGCAGGGTCTCAGTCCTGAGGAGATGGCCCGGGTTCGGGCCCAGAACAGCAGTGGCATGATAGGGGGTCCACAGAAGATACTCATGCCCTCACAGTTTCCCAGCCAGGGCCAGCAGGGATTCTCTGGGGGTCAGGGACCCTACCAAGCCATGCCCCAGGACGTGGGTAACACTCAAGACCTGTTCAGCCCTGACCAGAGCTCAATCCCCATGGGCACTGTGGGCACCACCCGGCTCAGCCACATGCCTCTTCCCCCTGCATCCAATCCTCCTCCTGGCTCTGTGCATGCAGCCCCCAACCGGGGACTGGGCAGACGGCCTTCAGACCTCACCATCAGTATTAATCAGATGGGCTCGCCAGGCATGGGGCACCTGAAGTCACCCACCCTTAGTCAGGTGCACTCACCCCTGGTCACCTCGCCCTCTGCCAACCTCAAGTCACCCCAGACACCCTCGCAGATGGTACCCTTGCCTTCTGCCAACCCGCCAGGACCTCTCAAGTCACCCCAGGTCCTCAGCTCCTCCCTCAGTGTCCGTTCGCCTACTGGCTCACCCAGCAGGCTCAAGTCTCCTTCCATGGCAGTGCCTTCTCCGGGCTGGGTTGCCTCGCCCAAGACGGCCATGCCCAGCCCTGGAGTCACCCAGAATAAGCAGCCGCCTCTGAACATGAACTCTTCCTCCACCCTGGGCAACATGGAACAGGGTAAGTCAACTGGGCAGGCCAGTGGCCAGTGGGTCCTGCACTTGTGTTGTTGGCCCTGTGGTGGGTTGGCACATGCTGGAGCCAGTGGTGGTAGCTGTGTTGGGCTTTCTCAGGGGCCACGATGTGCACTGCCCAGGCCTTTTGAGGGGTCACACTGGGAACTTGGGATCTCCCCCAGGGCAGGAATTATTTGGATATGGTGGGCCGTGGGGGTCATGGGGAGCCTCTGTTTAGTGGGACGTGGGTGTGCCTAAGTTGTCAAGTGGAGATTTTTGGAGCTGTCCTCTTCCTAAATTCCCCAATATGAGCAGCCCAATTCATCTTCCCCCCTCCCCAGTCACCCCCACTCTCTTTCTGTCTCCCTGCTTCTGTAGGTGCCCTCCCACCCAGTGGCCCCCGGAGCAGCTCCTCAGCGCCTCCTGCCAACCCTCCTAGCGGCCTCATGAACCCCAGCCTTCCATTCACTTCCTCCCCAGACCCCACGCCTTCCCAGAACCCCCTGTCACTGATGATGTCCCAGATGTCCAAGTACGCCATGCCCAGCTCCACCCCGCTCTACCACAATGCCATCAAGACCATCGCCACCTCAGACGACGAGCTGCTGCCTGACCGGCCCCTGCTCCCCCCACCACCACCACCACCACCACAGGGATCCGGGCCAGGTGCGAGGATAGGCAGGGGGCCATGGGAACTGGAAGAGTGGCTTGTACCAGGAACTACCCTTGTGGTCATGCCGGCTTTTCTGAGCTTCCACGGGGCTCTGGACATGGGGGTGTGAGGTCTGGGGCCCTGATTCCACTCTCTGCTGTCATTTAATGAAACCCAGCCCAGGCTTGACTGGTCTTTTCAGCACCCTGTGACATGTCTGTTGCACACAGAGCCAGAACTTGAGCTTTCGGTTTCTCTGCAAGGTCCCTTCCCTTGCAGCTGGGGGCACCAATGGTGAAAACTCGTGCCCTGGCACCACTTAGCTGGGGAGTAGGCCAGGATCTGCCCCAGCTGGGGCCATGAAGTTCCTGACACACTTGTCTTGTCCTCCTTCCCCACAGGCATCAGCAACAACCAGCCCAACCAGATGCACCTGAACTCCGCTGCTGCCCAGAGCCCCATGGGCACGAACCTGCCAGGCCAGCAGTCCCTGTCCCATGAGCCCCCACCTACTATGTTGCCTTCCCCCACTCCTCTTAGCTCCAACATTCCACTGCACCCCAATGCACAGGGGACAGGTGGGCCCCCCCAAAACTCAATGATGTTGGCCCCAGGAGGCCCAGACTCCCTGAATGCCCCCTGTGGCCCTGTGCCCAGCTCTTCCCAGATGATGCCCTTCCCCCCTCGGCTGCAGCAGCCCCATGGTGCCATGGCCCCCGCTGGGGGTGGGAGTGGGGGGCCTGGCCTGCAGCAGCCCTACCCTTCAGGCATGCCCCTGCCCCCAGAGGACCTTCCCAACCAGCCACCAGGCCCCATTCCCTCCCAGCAGCACCTGATGGGCAAAGGCATGGCTGGGCGCATGGGCGACACATACCCACCGGGGGTGCTCCCCGGGGTGGCATCAGTGCTGAACGACCCTGAGCTGAGCGAGGTGATCCGGCCCACCCCGACGGGGATCCCTGAGTTCGACTTATCGAGGATCATCCCCTCTGAGAAGCCAAGCAGCACCCTCCAGTACTTCCCCAAGAGCGAGAACCAGCCCCCCAAGGCCCAGCCCCCCAATCTGCATCTCATGAACCTGCAGAACATGATGGCGGAGCAGACCCCCTCTCGGCCCCCCAACCTTCCGGGCCAGCAGGGAGTACAGCGGGGGCTCAACATGTCCATGTGCCACCCTGGACAGATGTCCTTGCTGGGCAGGACAGGTGTGCCCCCACAGCAGGGCATGGTGCCCCACGGCCTGCACCAAGGGGTCATGTCCCCACCACAAGGCCTCATGACCCAGCAGAATTTCATGCTAATGAAGCAACGAGGTGTGGGGGGTGAGGTCTACAGCCAGCCCCCCCACATGCTTTCCCCACAGGGCTCCCTCATGGGCCCCCCACCCCAGCAGAACCTCATGGTGTCCCACCCCCTGCGGCAGCGCAGTGTCTCTCTGGACAGCCAGATGGGCTACCTCCCGGCGCCAGGCAGCATGGCCAACCTGCCCTTCTAGCAGTCTCTATGGGAACTGGAGCCGGGCAATACTGCAAAGATGCTAACCTTCCAAGTTTCTTCCCTCTGGTGTGGGGATGGCCTGGGTCCAGGGGTGGGGTGAGGGGTGGGAGGGGGCTTGTGTGGGGAGTGGCATTTGTGGAAACCAGATGTGCTGGCAGCTTAGGGGAAGTGGCAGAGTGGGGGGTGGGGGGTTTGGGATTGGGGTTTGTCCCCTTTTGGCCATCAGGACTGCTCCTCCCCCACCCTCCCAATTCCTACAGAGCCTCTTTTTTCCCTCTTTCTCTGCGCCCTCCTGCCTTTCAGCTATGCTTTGGGTCCTTGGGGGAGAATAGGAGGAGAGGAAGGGCCTCCTTCTCTGTCCCTCAGCTGTCTCGTTGCTCGAGCTCCACTTCTCTTGGTTCCTCTGCTCTTACCCGTTTTTTCCTTCTGTCTTTTCCTGACTCATCTCCTCTCCCCCACCTCCCTGCAGGCGGCTGGCCAGGTGGGCAGGTGCCAGCCGGAGCTGTAAATAGAGCGCTGCGCTTTTGTGCCGGTTTGTGCGTGTGCTGTATTTCTGTGTTTTGATAGAAGTCACACAAAGGATAAACAAAACCCTTCCCCCTTCTTCAAATAATTGCCCCTCCATTTCCTTGGATCCAGGGACTTGTGGTCCTACACACCCACCCACTCAAAGGATCCCATTTCTGTCCTCTCTAAATGGTAAGATGACATAGATGCCCCACACCTAAACTGAGGTCAGACACCAAGGCTTCCACCTGGTGAGCCCCAGCGGGGCTGAGACCCCCCCCCCAGGGCGGCAGCCTGTCTGCTGCTGAGAGATTTCTGGGAGAACGCATGCACCATGCATTCGTGTTTGCCCACACCCGTGACATGGGGCCCCGACCTCCTGCTGTGGATGTCTGGGTGCCCCTGCTGCTACACCTTAGTCAGAACTTGAAGCCCTTTGTCCTCAGTCTGGGATGAAGGACAGGAAGAAGAGGCGGTGTCAGCATGGCTCCCTTGAATGGAGCCGTGGGAGCCCCATGACAGCATGACACTGCCAGAGCCTGTGGCTACAGTAGCCCTGGGCCAGGTCACCCCTGGGGCCCTGACTCTTCCAGAGGCCACCACTTACTTCTCACCAAAGAAGGAAGGAACAGGGTTTGGCTGAGTCAGTCTGCCTTCCCTCCAGCCTCGCTCCAGCTTCCCCTGAGGATTGAATGGGGGGAAATGTTGGGGGGGCTGGAGAGTATTTTGCTGCCTCTTCCCTGCCCATTCTTGGCAAGGTCCTTCTGCCCAGGGCCCATCCAGGCACAGCCACTGCCTCCCCTTCAGTCCCCTGCTCCTTCCCAGAAGAGCTCCCTACCCGCCACTGGTAAGAGCTGAAGCCATACACGACTAGGTGTTTTACCCCCCTTTGGCCCCAGAAGTAAAAAAAAACCTCCTTTTCTCACTTCCTTTCCTGCCTTGTGAGGTGGCGGGGCAGTTCCCTGGCAGAGGCCTTTCCTGCCAAGGGCCAAGGGCCATTCTAGACAGGGTGTCTTCTACCAGGGCCCCCCTGTCCCCAGCCTTCCTGACCACCTGCAGGGCCTGGTCTTGCGTTGGCAGCTGTAATACAAAGGGAATTCGTGCCCACTTCTCCCAGTTGGTGCTGTCCTCTTGGTCCACCGTCAGCCAGGTCAAGCGCCACTTCCTCCACCGGCTGGCTGCAGGCTCCTGACTCCCCGGCACTTCCTAGGACCCATAGCTGGGCCCTGTGTTGGGGGCGGGGGAATATTTGTCCTCCATCCTGCCAGGTGCTCTGCCTGCCTTGCCTCCACCTGGGCCCCCACCCTTGTCCTCAAACTGTCCAAACTCTACTCTGTTTCCTGCCCTAAGGAGAGGGCTCAGACTGCAAAGAGCCCAATGCCCTCCAGTCCCCTCTTGTCCCACCTCCGCCACTAGCTTCCCAAGGTGAACTCCACAGGCCAGCCTTCTTCCCTCCATCCATGGCCATACCCCCAGCCATTTTGTACCATTATATAAATATATATATATAAATATAAATATATAAATACAATATGTGAAGACATCTTGGTTTTTATTTTGAAACAATTTTTAGGCTTGTTCCGGGGGTCTCTGTGCTGCCTGTACTGTATTGACCTGTTTTATAGGTGCCTTTTTATTAAAAAGAGAAAATTCAAAATCCAAACTCTTTGCCTTTCTGTTTCTGTATCTGGCTTCTTCAACTGCCCAGCTTGCTATTGGATGCTGGGAGAAAAAGCGGGACCCTAGGGCTTCCCTGTCATTCTGCAATGAGGGCACAGCCCCCTGGGCCACAGTGCTAATTTCCCCAGTGGAGGCCTTGCAGGGAGCTTGGCTGATTGACTTGAGTGGGGCCAGGCAGTTCAGATGGGCCCTTAGTAAGTGCAGGGGTCCCTGCCACCCCCACCCCAAGAACAGAGGCTGGGAGGAGCAAGGAGAGCCCAGAAGTGCCTGACAGGCCCCAGAGCGCGGAGCAGCTTCCTCTGGTTTCATCTGAGCAGTATCCTCTTAGGTAAGGATACTGGGCCTGGGGACTTCCCTACCCAGGTCTTCTCACGCTGCCCTGCCTAAGGTGAACCCCTGGGTGAGAAGCTGGATGACAGACTTCCAAAGCATTGTATTGAAACTAAGTTTTGGACTCAAGGCCCAAACTCCTGAGATTCCATATGTCAGGTCTGGCCACCACCCCTAAATGCCAAAAAAAGAGACGTGGTGAAGGCAGAGAAAGGAAATTTATCACATGGCTTGGGACAGGCGGTGGGAAGAGACAGAGTAAGCACTCAGTTCATCTTCAGCCATCTTTGGGATGCAGACATGAGCTATAGGTTTAAGTAGACAAAAGAACTGGAGGTAGGGAGAAAAGTATGCATAGTTAAACAGTCCCAGTCAAAGGCGTGTTCTGGTTGACCCGTTATCTCAGTCCAAGGGTTCTGGGAGAGGTTCCCGAGTTGTTATCTGGAGCCAGGCAGGTGGTCCATCCAAGGGAGAATCTACTGTTGCAGGTAGTTTTGGTTCCTTCTCAAAAAGTTGTTACTGATCATTCCTTTCCTTCCTTGATTCCGAGGTGGTTGCAAGGTGACTGCAGAGAATGGCTTAGAGCAAAGACAGATATAAAATGGATGACATGCCATGCTTTTCTCCTGCTTTTAGTTAATTCTTGGGCCCAAGAAGGAGTCAGTGCTTTTCAGCTAAAGCAGTTTGAGCTCTTCTTACAATTGCCCCCTTATGTTTGAACATTCCTCAATCTTGAGGGAATTTGGGTTTCTTGGCCAGTGATAAATTAGTACAGGAGAAGGGGACAAGTAGCTGACAGTAAAGTCAAAAGTACTTGTTGCTTAAATCTAATAAAACTAGAAACATTATTATGAAGCAGTCATTTTTGTCTCTACTTAAACAGAAGGCCTTGGCCAAAAATATGAGTTTACCTTCTGTCGGAGGTGCCTGTAAGGGCTCGAATGTCTGGTAGCCATGTATAAGATCACTTTTTCAAAACCTCTTAGATTTAGTAAATTTTTGAAGGTCTGCCACAGGTGATTCCATCTGGATTGTGAACTCTTTCCCTTCTTGTCTGAAGAGTTTTTTTTTTTGAAGATTCTGCTAATTAACCATTCTGGTTAATGGAAGTCCCTTATTGCCAGGACTAACTCTTTTCCAGATGATCTGATCCCATGTTGAAGGGGAAGCAACAGGAAGTTTAGGGGGGAGTCAGTGTCAGTAAGACCTTTTTGGCCAAATTATAAGCAACCGAGAGGTTTTAGAAGAAGTGACCCTTAGGCTGGCACCCATTTTTAATTTTTTTCTGTCCTATACATGATGTCTTGACATCTTAAAAATGCCAACAGACAGCTAGGTACCAGTGGCTACAGCTAGTGTAATCCTAGCTACTCAGGTGGCAGAGATCAGGAGGTTTGTGGTTCAAAGCCAGCCTGAGACAATTAGTTCTTGAGACCCTACTCGGAAAAAAAAAAAAGCCAAGAGACTGTAGTTAAAAGTTTCACAAGAAAAATACAAAAAAGCTAACAAAAGCAAATATTTAAAAGACTGACAGACAAGTACTTGTTACTTGTTTGAGTTCCATGGGTTTGATTGCAAATGCTCCAGAGAAGGACCCAGACCGCTAATGACAAGACATAGAATAGGCATGGTTAAAATACTGAAAAGCAATTTAGCAGTTGTCAGAACATCTAGTTATTTCCATTGAAGACAGCATTTTAGGAAAATAATTATGACTGACAGCATTACCACAGCAACACTAAGTGCTCCTTGTTACAATTAGGAACACGCGGACACAAGCCTGCAAAATCTAGCATCACTAAAAATTTTAATTTGGAGAACATCTACATGGCAAAGTTTCTTTCTAAGCTTTGCATTTCTGGAGGCTTATATATTCGGGGAGTATAAATATATTACAACAATTAGCATCACTACACAGATGTCAGATATTTATGTTAATTTAGCTTTTTTTTTTTCCTTTAGAGTAAAATTTAGGATTTTTGGCTAGGTAAGTTAACATGTGTACAGCCCTGACAAAAAGTCAAAAATTTAGATCTTTTACAAGTTAGGGAGACTGTACTAGAGATCTCAAATAGCCTTATTTTTTAATGTACAAATGTGTCTCGTATACACAATAATACTTACTTGGTTAAGATAGATAATTGTAGGCCAGATTTTAAATAGCAGAATTGCCCAAATGGCAGGTTTTTCCTGAATATTACTAATTACAAACAGCAGTAATGCTAACAGTTTCATTGACCATTCTTGTATGCCAGAGGTTTAGATGCAATGCATTTGGATAAAAAGAGAGTCTGAGTTGGTTATTTTACATGTACTTAAACTCACACTTTTTTAACTCTGCATGTTTGCACAATATTTTGAATCTAGATACACAGCTCTACATACTTTTAGTCACAGATCTATGGTGCACTAATTGTGTTAGAATTACTTAAAATAAGTTGTTTTATCACATAGATATAAGGTGGTCATTTAAGAGATTTTACAAGATTTAAGATTTTACTTAAGTGAACCCTGATGTAGTTAAGGTTAATTTCCTAAGCAGTCAAAAATCTGACAAGAGCAGCAGAAGACACTAGCAATTATTTTTAGGAAAATGTTCTCTTTAAGACAGTCTTTTATAAACGTTACTAAGAGTACAACAATATTAAGATAGCCATGTTATTTTAGACATAAAGACAATTAGGTTCTAGTTTTACTCAGTACATTAAACTTTGACCTTAGAAAAGTTTTTAGGCAACTTTTAAATTATAGCTGACTTAATTACATACATAAACATAAGACTCTTCTAATTTTGCACTTTGAAATAACTTTTACAAAATTTTAAATTTAGACAAAGGTGTTTCTTTTCCCAATATAATAAAATAAAATGCTCTCTTAGACTTATATTTTAATATAGACCTAGGAAGAAACGCAATCTTAAACTGTTTCTCTATACAATAAGCAATTTACTAAAACACATTTGTTAATAGATCCAATTAAAAAAGAAAGTTGAATATAAACTACCCTTAGGACAAAATGAAATAGACTAAGATTACTGTCCACACAGTCCTTTTCTTCATTCCTAAGTCAGAAGATAAATTCTCGAATGCCTGTGTTTTAGTTAGACTTGATTGAAAAAAGAATTTGAAGAAAAAAAAAAACAAAACTGTTTTTCTTAAAATGGCAGTGAAAGGTGGGGGAGAGAGGAGAACAGAAGTTCCTTTACATTAAGTCCACAATAAGAATCATCCTAATGATGGTCACATACACATACATGAATATGCAAAAATGTTCTAAATTAGGCATGCCACAAATGTCAATTTAAGTGCGCATAGTTTTAAGAGCTCAGGAAGATGCAAAAATTAATCTGGTGGCCACAAATGTGTTGGCCAGTTATTTCCTGAGATTCCAGCAGCAGATTGAGATGTGCCCCATGCTGTTCTTTTAGGAACAAGCCTCATTTTTAGGAGGCTTAATAGCTGAAGGAAGAGTAAACACCAGACACGAGTCAGCCTCAGTTTCTAATAAAACGGTTGCCACAACTGTCAGAATTTTAGCCTCTAATAAACCAATCATCCTAGACATGCAATAATAGACACACACACAAAATACACACACACACACACATACACACACACAAAATTTTGCGTCAAAATACACAATGATGCAAAAAACAATTGCATTAATTCAGACTGCACTCTTAGAAATTGTCTTTTTTTCCTTAGTAGAATAGTCAGAATTCTCCCTGGAGGGCAAGATGGACTTAGTGCTTTTCATTCTTAAGCTGGTATAGACTTAGTATTTCCCATGGTTACACAAATTGCAAAAGAGATCTCCCACACACCCTGGTCCTCATTCCTTGTGTTGCTCCTTTACTACTTGGTTCTGCAAAATGTTTGTAAACAGTTTCTCTGTGTACAAACACAAGTGACCTAAGCCTCGAATAGCCAAAAAGAGCTCAAATGACAGAGGAACAAGACAAAGACCACAAAATTACCAATTTCTTGTCAAAATACAAGGCCTGTACAAATGAAAAGAAACTATTGGAGAGGCTGTCAAAGGTCCCACGAAAAAGGCCTGAAACTCAAGGTCCACTCGTTTCTCTGCTTCACTGAGCAGTGGTGAAAAAGCAGTCGATGCTGGCTGAAGTGGAAGGTTGAGAAAAGGTCCTTGAAATAAAAGTAATTCCAGCAGATGCGAAACCGACTCCATCTTTCCTCTCAAGGTCGACTAACTGCGGGTGGCTAGCACCTAGAAGAGGAATTTTCTCCTGGCACGGCTCACCAAAGCCGAAACCAGAGTTTTGGACCCAAGGCCCAAACACCTGAGATTTCATATGCCAGGTCTGGCTACCATCCTTACATGCCAAATAAAGAGGCCCGGTGAAAGAGAGGGCTCAGGACATGCCGTGGGAAGAGGCAGAGTAAGCACTCAGCCCAAAAACGGAGGAGAGAGTAAAAGAAGGAGATTATGAAGGTGAATACAGTTGATGTACTCTTCCTACAAGAATGAATATAGAATGTTAAAACCTGTTGAAATCATCCTAAGAAGGGGACTAAAGTAAAAAGAAGAAGAAGAAGAAAAAAAAGACGAACCAATTCAGGTTATAATACATTATATATGGAAATGTCACAGGGAAACTCCCTGTGTAGTTATCTTAAACAAACAAAACATTATTTTTTCCTTTTACAAAATCAGAGAACAGGAAGGCTGAGCAGGTCCTGTCTGGGTGATTGGTACCAGTGGGAGGGGGGGAGGAGGTAGGGAAAGAGTGTGGGAAGGTGAATATGGTGCAAATACTATGTGCATACGTATGCAAATGGAAAAATGATGCCTGTTGAAACTGTTCCGGGAGTGGGGGAGGAGGGATAAAGCAGAATGGTGGAGAGGGTGAATTCAGGTATGATATATTTGATATATTGTAAGAACTTTTGTAAATGTCACAATGTATACCCACCACCCACCCAGCACAGTAATAATTTTTCTAAAAATCCATTATGTGAAAAAAAAAAATCCATTGTGACATGGGGTTTTTATTTTATTTTTGAATTTGCAGACATTAATAATACGAGGGGAAAAAATGGAGGAGAGATGCCATGCTTTTCCTCTCCTATGACTTAATTTCTGTGCCCAAGAAGGAGTCAGTGTTTTTTCAACTAATGCAGTTTGAGTGCCTCTTACACTTCCAGACAGTCTTTTCTCCCAGTGGTCTCCTCTCCATCCAGACTCAACTTAGTGCTCCCTCTACTGCTGCAGTTTCCACAGGCTCTGAGGCTGGTGAGGAAGTGGGGTAGGGAGAGACAAGTCTGCCTCCTTCCCCATCAGTGCCCAGAACCCACATGGCCCTGGATCCTGCCTCTCCTCGCCCACCTTGGGAACTTCCTACCCACTTCCGTCTGGTTCCTGGGCAGAGAAGACAGCTTGGGCGATGGGGAGCCTTCCATTCCTTTAACAGGTTCCTCTCCAGCTGGTTTGCCCCTAGCTCTTCCTCCAAGGGCACCTGGAATCTGTCCTCAGTGTACAGTCCAGGACCTGGTAACATGCAACTGACCCAGCAGCTGCCCGGAACCGATTCCATCTCTCCCCTCCATCCAGGGTCGACTAGCTGGACCCTGTCCATGGGGCTGACCCTGGTTTGGATGGAGCCAGGGGCAGTTACCTAAAATGAATTGGTCCTGGTTAGTCAAGGCAGCTGCAAGGTTGGGGGGGCCTGGCAGAATGTCTGTGTTTAAGGAACTGAGGCCACATTGTCAAGGTCACACTCTGCTTCCAGCTGGCCACCTCTCAGCCTTAACCTCCACTCATCTCCTGGTGCCTGGCTTCTCCTGGCTTCACTTGACAAGTGTGTAGAAGGAGAGGTGGGGAGCTGTGGCTTTAAGATGATGGAGTGTATTCTGGGAGGTCACTGACTTTCCCCATGGCCAGAGCTTTGGCTGGGTAGGGTGAGAGAAGGTGTGTGGAGGAGTCCTTTTAGCCCAAAAGTGACGCAGGTGGGTACAGATATCCTTTGCTTTGTCTTTGGGCTACTTTCCCCTCCGTGAGCTCCAGCCTTGCCCAAGGACTGGCAGAAGAGCAGCAGGACATCCTAGAGAGAGGACTGGTTCACCTGGCTGTCCCACACAAGGGTGCTGGGCAAAGAACTGTTAAACTCCTGCTTGGAAAGGCTTCCAGCATCACTGAATGCTTCAAGGAAAGCGGAAAGAAAATGGGGACACTGGGACTTAAAAGGTGGTGAGGGAGGTGGCATTCTCTGACTCAGAGAGACTGCTCTTGCGCCAGCTAGGGAAGAGCTGGCACAGGGAGGCGGGACCGGCACAGCCCAGCTTGGTCAGAAGCCGAGACAGGTCACTCCGGAACTTTACACCAGCGAAGGTGTAGAGCATGGGGTTGAGGCAGCAGTGGGCCAGGCCCACAAACTCACACATGGTGATGACCACGGGGAGATACCCATTCAGCTCACAGCTGTTGGCCACAGCCTTCAGCCTTGCCAGGGTGTCCAGGAAGATGACGATGTGGTAGGGTGACCAGCAGAGAAAGAAGACGCTCGTCACCAGGATGGCCACTCTGACTGCCTTCTGCCGCTGAGGGCGCCGCTGGGCCTGGCACAGCCTATGCACGACCCCTACATAGCACCAGCCCATTACCAGCATTGGCAGCAGGAAGCCTCCAACATGGTAGAGGAAGCGTGAGGTAAACCAGGCTCTGGTTTCGGCTTGATTCTCTTGGGAGAAGGTGCAGCGTGGCAGGGAGTCGTTGCTGTGGGGTTGGCTGACCTTGGCAAAGAGAACCTCTGGGAGGGCAAAGAGGAAGCCCGCCACCCAGATGGTCGAGCAGGTGATGTGGATGGAGAGGAGGCGGCGATGGCGGTAGGCATGGACAGCGTGGACAATGGCCAGATAGCGGTCCACAGCGATGCAGGCCAGCAGCAGGCTGCTGCAGTAGAAGTTGATCTTGTGCAAAGCAATCACAATTTTGCAGAGTGAGGTCCCCAGGACCCAGCCCACAGAGCCCTCGGCCACAGCAAAGGGCAGGATGAAGACTAGTAGGAGATCGGCCACTGCCAGGTGGAACAGGAAGGTCTCGGTGGAGCTTCGTGTCTGCCGGTGCCTCACCAGGATCACCAGCACTAGGACATTGCCCATTAATCCCAGGAGGAAGATGAGGCTGTAGGCCACAGGCATGAACACAGCCTTGAAGGAGGTCAGTAGCGGCCCCTCCACTGTGGAGCAGAAGTGACTTTCCAGTAGGGAGTTCTCAGTATTGTCACTGTAGTTGGCCAAGTCTCTGTACTGCTAGGACAAGAAGACAGGAGGATGAAGAAATGAGGACCCCCTCTCTGAGAGGAAACCTAACCCCCTGTAGGTTTTTCCTATCCCTCCAGTGTAACTGCTTTTGTCCTTGAACTCCTGTATGGAGACACTGACCAAACTCCCATTTCTTTTGGTGTGTCCTTGAACAAATCACTCTGTCTTTTCCAACTCCACCTCCCCCCCTCCACCACCCCATTTGAGGGATGGATCCAGAGCCCTTGCACATTAGGCAAGTGCTCTACCACTGAGCCACCTCCCCAGCCCACAACTTCAGTTTTTTGTCCATAAATGGAGCCAGTGGCTCATAGGGTAGTGATGAGGATAAAAGGAACTGTATGGTGTGGACGTGCTTTGTGAGCTCTGAAGGGCTGTGAACATGTGAGTGACTTTGCATCTCTGTGTCCTGAGGTATGGAAAGCTGCAAGCTTGGGAACTAGAGTCAGGATTGCCTTTGGGGAACTGGATCTGGCTAGGCAGGGAGCCATCTGCTCTCATTCTGAACAGAATAGCAGGTACTAAAACCAAGGATCCCACTTTGGAGAGGGAACAGGAGGCTGCTGATATAGCCTGCTGACTTTTTTTGATTCGTCCCCAACTATCTTCACTGTCATTGAAGCTGTGGAAAGCTCAGTGCATGTAATATTACTTTTATTTTACAATGCGTATTGCTAAGGCCAGGCTCCTTTAAACCCACATTTACCTGCCTCAGGGCCAAGGGTCCCCCCCACTGAGCAGCACTGCCTGGGCTTCCCCCTAAAGGCTGGAGGGAGAGGGACAGGTACAGTGCTCCCTACTACTTCTCATCCCTAGCAAACTCCCTAGGCAAGGGGAGCCCAGTAGTACAAAGCCCAGAAGCCAAAAAGAAGCAGAAGGAAATGAGGTACATACAGGAGAGCAGGCACAGGGGAGGGAGGGAGCCTGATCAGAGTGAAGGGGGTGTGCCTGCTGTGTCTCTGGAAGTTCCCTCCTCCTCATCCTCCTCTACTCTCCATCACCCTCCCCCTCACCACCCCAGGGCTCAGGTTGTTTACCCAGCTAACCGCAGAGGAAGACATGGTGCCTGTTTTCATACCTTTCACTCACAGCTGCCCTGCACCTGCTCCTCCTCACCTCTCTGCTCTGTACTTCCCTTCCTCCCTTGAGCAACCCCCTCCCCGTGCAATGCAAAACTGATTATACCCGACTTTCATGGGCTCAAAGGGGAACTCTAGAAATGATGAACCTCAGGAAGGCAGAGGACAGAAGAGGGTACTGTGTCCTGGGGCTCTGGGTGGTCTCATGCTGCCCTCCTTTCAGGACAGAGAGGGTCTCTTGCAAGCAGTGGGTGTGTTCACTGGCTATCACAGAGCTTTCTTGCCACCAAGGGACCCCAGTTGTGAGTCACACACTCACTCCCAGTGGTAGGCAAACCCATTTTCTACCTGGTCTCTCCTTTGGTCCCTTCAATGAGCAGGGATCTGGGGGATGCACTGATGCAATGGCAAAGCTATCTATCAGCCCCTCCAGTAACCAACCCCTCTTCCATCACCTCTGTCCAGCCCTTCTTCACCCTATACTCAGGACTCCTGTCTCTCCATGGGTCCCTTTCCTACCAACTTTTGCACTCCTGTCTAATTCCTGCATGGAGGACAGGGTAAGCTTTCTCATATCCAAATCCCAGCTGGGTTCTGTGGCACATGCCAGTAGTCCAGCTGACAGACAGCTTGAGTCCAAAAGTTTGAGACCAACTAGCAACACAGGGAGACTCCATCTAAAACAACAACAAAAACAGTGACGCAACACACCCCATTACATCACTGCCCTGCTTACAGACCTTTACTGGTTCCCCATCACCTGTAAGAAGTAGTTTTCTTTTCTCTTTGTCTCCTCCCCAACCAAATTCACACTTAATAGCAAAGTCCTTATAAGAAAAAAAAAATCATTTTCAGGATAAAGTTCATGAGTAGAATAGAGTAAACCAAACTCTGCTTCACACAGTAGGATATAGTGGGTGCTTAGAAGAAAATGAGGTTTATGGCATGTCCTATTAGGGAAGACTTTAACATACATTGCTCAATTTTAGAACCAATTGCAGGGCATCACATGCAGCATGAGTGCCCAGGATTGTGTGTGTGTCACAGGGTTCCTTGGGGGTGGGGCTCCAGACTCTCCTTCAATCTTTTAAACCAGAGCTCTTCACTGTTGACTGTGTGGTCAAAAACACATAGGTCTTTGCTTAAGAAGATGGTTCTATTTTCATTTGAAAGCTATGGCCTGTGTGGTGGTGGTGTCTACATTCCTGAGAGGGCCTTTAAATTTCTCCAATATGCATCCTCCTTTGACCTGCCAAGCCTTATCTTCTACTTCACTGATTTAGGCACCCTGTGCCCCAGGAATACCATTCTACCAGCTGCCCACCCCCAACACCCCATATCTTCGTGTTGCCAAACCTTTGCTCAAACTCTTCCTTTGGCTTGGCAGGCCTATCTACTCAGGTTTGCCTATCTAATTCTTGTCATTTCGTCAAGGTCCAAGTCAATCTCACCTTTCTACATCATTCTTAGCTCCTTCCACTTGAAATTACACTTGAACCTGCCTGGAGCTCAGCAGAGGGACTCACCTTCTTCATATCTTCTGTAATTCCCACTCTTGCCCCTTACCTTGGGTTCTCTCCCTATGGGGGGCTATTTCCAATAGAGTATTGAATACCATTGACTCTTGTGGCAATTCAGCAGGTGGCCAAGAGGAAACAGTGGGGTGAGCAGTCCCCAGGTCCAGCCCAGGCTTTAGGCAGAGGGAGG